AGAGGCGCACAACTATTCACTCTTCACTGCTGGGTGTTGTGTGACTACTGCTATTTACAACAGACTGAGAAGCAAGCAATTACTTTCTATGCCTACTGAGCATCCCATCTAGAAAAGGAGGGGATGATAGCCCACTTAATGCAGGTTATTCAGAAGATTCGTTGCTGTTGAGCAGCTCAGTGGTGTCTTTATGGCCACTGCATGGCTCTAAGGCAGTTATCAGAAGGGTCAAGCACCAACAGCTGCTGCAGAGTCCAGTCTGAATTTAAGTGCATGTTTGGAGATGAATTTCTTGATGTGTCTGTCCTCCTACAGTGTCAACAGTGGTGTTAGTGACAGGACAAGGGGGAAACGCCTCCAGGATGAAACAGGGTAGATTTAGATTCAGAAGAAGTAATTTCCTGTGAGGGTGGCAAGATGCTGGTGCAGGCTGCCCAGAGAAGGTGGGCTTTGAGCGACCTGGTCTAGTGGAAGGTGTTGGAACTAGATGGTCTTTAAATCATTCTGTGATTCTATAGGCAAAAGCGGTAATTTCTGCAGAGAAAAGGATTGGCACGTTTAGCAACAGTATTGGGGTAAAGTGATGGGGGGTGTGAAGCAGAGGCTTAAACAGGGCTTGAGGATTGCCAGAATAGGACAGGTTATGACACAGGAACTGAAGTAGGGAACTGCTGCAATTCAGCCTCTAAAATGTAATTTTGTCCATGTTTTTTCTTCTAAGGGTAACATGCAAGAGGCACCTGCAAGTCCTCAGACAGAAATGCACTTAGGAAATGGAAGCAGCAGTCTGGACCACAGGATGTGTTTCAGAAGGGTGGCCTGCAGGGCATTAATTCTCCATTTGAGGAAAGCTGGGTAAACTCTTCAAACAGCTTGGTGGTACTTCCCAGCTCTCAAACACAGGTAACTTTTGTTCATTCTTTCAGTCTTCAAAGATCAATGCAAACCTTTATTTTCTATAAATAATTTAATAAATACTTTTGTTTTACAATGATACAACAAATAACAAATTCATAGCAAACGAGTCGCAAAGAATTTAGGATCAGTATACTTTAATAAGGTATCAGTGTCAAAATACATTTCCTTATCAAGTTAAAGTTCCCATACAGTTATAATATTGTCAATAAGAATTCAGCAATATAGATTATGAAATAATTATGATAAAAAGTATGATTAATATTAAGACATGGAATAATTTTTCAGAGTGTTTTAGTAAACTGTTAGGGTATAACATTTTTAATGCTGCAACTACACAAATAAGAAACAGAAGAGCGGGATTCAAGTGTCTTTAATCCTTGAAGCATTAAGTCCTTGCCACTACAACTTTGTCAAAGCTGGCTTGCCAATTTTAATCAGGTTTTGATGCCTACAATATATTCTTCCATATGGTAATAACTTCACTTTAGGAGCAGATTATTTTTGGTAATAAACTCTCAAAACATTGTCTACAATAAGGACTACCAGATTTTTTTCTATTATGTATCAATAGCAAAAGATTTTAAGCTTTTCTTGTGTGGTTAAGACTTGCTTAACACAGTGAACTCTGAAGTGCTCTATGAACCCAAGGCTCCCTCCCTGCAAGTGTCAGTGCATGATATAAAGCAATTTTATCAACCAGGCTTCAGCGCAGTCGGAAGTCTCAAAAGAATATATCTTTGTTCTAAGCTTCTAGGCCAGATTTTTACCTTTTGTATGTTGCCACTGCTCCATTTTCTTCAATGAAGCTACAATGATTTATACCAGTGGAGGAAACAAGATGGTATATGCCAACATCAATCTAGGTCTGTATGTATTTTAAGTCAGAACTGCTCACCTGCCTTTTATTACTTTCCTGGTTTTGCTCTTTAAATATGTTGTAATTCAAACTTCAAAATTCCTTTGCCTTTGAATGCATTCAAAGCTTTATTTTTTTTAATGGTAGTTGGAAAAGAGCTCAGAAATGTCTGGCTACCTTTTAATGACATTGCAACTACTGATTAATGTAAGGCAAGTAAAAATGATACAAACCTGCCTGCCAGCTATTCATCTTGCTATACAATCCTTAATTCTTTTGGTCTATTTATAACTGAGTTAGCCTAATAGCCTGGGAAATATTACTTAGTTTTAATGATTCAATACTGCAATTATATTGCTAGCTAGCATATAAGATGGTAGAAGTGTAACATTAATCAGAGGTGTTAGTGCTGGCCCGCTGGTCAGATTCCTGAAATATCAGCAACACCATAACAAATACTACTAGTTTTATCAGAAACAGCTCTTAAAGTGTCCTAGATACAGCAAAAGTACCAAGAGATGATCAACAACTGACCCAGAGAGAAATTAAAAAGAAAAGGAAAGAACAAAGCAAACAAACCAAACCCCAAACAAATGAAATCACAGGTCTAACTCCTCCACTGGGGTAAATCTTTAGGACTCCCTTGGCTGTAGAGCTAAGCCAGGTTAAGGCAGCTGAGAATGTGGCTTGCTTCTTGAGGAAAAAAGCTTACAACGTGCAACTTTCACAGATACCCACAAACATTTGCAGTTCACCATTCACATTTCTTTCAACAAAAAGTATAAAAACAAAAGGAAGGGGGAGAAGGCGGAAGGCTGGGATTTTTCCTTAGTATACCCTTCCAAAAGTTATTAAAGTTACAATACAATAAATGCTGGAAAACAGAAAGACTCAGAAGATTTCAATTTGGCAGATCAACAAAAAGCTGTGGTTGGAGATCAAATTTGTTTCATTCATCTTTGGCAATAAAAAGAAATCTTTGCACTACTGCAGCCAAAGTACATTGCAGAATGAGGCATTTATACCACAGCTTTTTATCAGCATGAAATTTGCAGAAAATCTCAGCATATAAATTACAGGTCATGAGACAAGGGGGAGGGTAATCAAACTCTCTAAACAACACTTTAATTGCAATAGAGAAAATACAGTAGATGTATTTCTTTAATATGAATAATAAAGTGAGTAACTTCAAAAGGCCACTATTTGGTAACGTGGACAGGTTCAATATCTAAGTAAAATCCTGTAAAAGTGTATTTGTATTAGAAATTGTCTACTTGCAAAAATATATTTAAAAACTGAAGCTGTTTTGAACAGTATAGGCCACGGAATATTGCAGGATCGCTCAGGTTGCCTGGTCCAGCGCTCGGAGCAGTTCACTGCCCTGCAGAAGCGTAGAGCTGCCCAAAACGGGGACGTTCACCTCACAGTCATATCTTGTCAACTCGGGCAACAAGTAGGGTTCAAAGGAGGGCCCCAGCAGCCGACTGGTCATACCTGGAAGAGATTAGACAAATCAGGCATGGTGTTGAGACTATTTCCTCTCATCCTTCTTCTGTTTATACCAGTTCTTAGTTCATTTTGTTTATATATCCATATGCCTCAAACCACCAGCAGTTACAGGTTTCAGAGCAAACCTATGCAGGGCTCTGCCTCAGACTATTGCAAGCATGTCACACAGACATGTGCAAGTTTTCACTTCTACCCCTGATTTACATTGCTCTGAGAAAAATTATGCTGGTGCAGATGAGGAAGGCTGTGGTAAAGACAGTGTATAAATTGACACTCACTCCCCTTGTATATTAAAAGGGACATGTATGTATGTCCCCTTTAACTACTTAACTTTTATAAGGCTGTCAAGACTGTAATCAATGCTGCAGTGAAGTTGTTTAGTACAGTTTAATCAATTGTATCACAAGACAAGAGTATGGATGGAGGATGACTCAACCTTGAAGGTAAAAAGTCAAGTTTAACTGAAATAAAGTGCAAAAATGTCTTTTCCTCATATATAACAAATGTAATCCCTAAAGTTTCACACTAAACAACTAGAACTATTTTCTCATGCTGTGAAATAATACATTTTTGGTTCTTAGTTTATCAGCCTCCTCCATAATTCTTTAGGTGTATTTTTCCATAAAATCAGCATTGGAACTAAGTACTAGCATTTTCCTATTTCTGTATTTCAGTTCTTACCTGACACTTTATGAGCTGGCTGGACAACATAGTCCTGACAATGGGAACTGTAAAACGGAGGGGGAAATGCTCCTGCTTTCAAATTCTCACCAGGACTGCCACAGGTTGGTTGCTGCTGCTGCTGTTGTTGCTGCTGCTGTAGTTGATTCATTGGCTGGCTCAGGCCCCTCGAATTACAGACAAATTCATCTGATTTACACAAGAGGGGGGGGAAGAAAAAGGTTAAGCTAGGGTAATAATTAATAGATAATATTAATTCAGAGCAAAGTGATCCTTGCTGTGATGGTCACAGTGTGGGCATACCTACAGCTTGTCACAAAAGAAGCCCACAAACAGCACTAGCTGTACAATTGTGTAATAGAGCTACTGTACAAGATATGCTTGAGTGTAAGGAAACACAATGTTGTAGAGAGAAAGTATCAGTTTTAGCTCTGAGATGTCTGCATCTCCAATCAGCATGAAGCCAGGCCATCTCCATTAAGCTGATCTGTTACATCCAAAGCGAGGATGCAAACATACATGAAACCATCTACCTGGTATTTATTAAATGTACCTGAAATTATTCAACTCTTAGTGATACAACTTGATCTTTAATTTTAGCTTAATGTCATATTTACAGAGCTTATTTACAGTTCCTTTTGAAAGAGCTTAATTTCCTATTCAACCTGTCTTAAAATTGTGTTTCATCGCAAAACCACTCTTTTGTCTTACCAGTAAGAACACTTGTGCTGAGAGATTTCTTTTCTGTAACCAAGGAACAGTTTTCCCCTTTGAGAAATTTCATTCTCTTCCACATGAGGTGAGATGAATTAATGACAGATGGATCTCCCTAGAACGCAAAGAAAAGCAAACCAAATAATCAACACCGATGACCAAGGTGAGTCCAAAGCTTGTGAAGGAGATGTAGTTCTTATTACCCCACTCAGCTGTTGTAATGCTTGTTCTTCATAATCCAGTTGCCGCTTCAATTTCAAACTGTTAGCCAGAGCAATTCTTGCCGGGTTTACATCTATGCCTCGCTGCCCAAAAGCATCCAAAGGCCTGTGGAGTAAAGATCTCTGGGTGAGTGAGCAGGGAGGCAAATCTATATGATCTTGGTCACTTCTACAAATTCTTTCATTTAAAGACATTTAAGGTGTCTTTAGACACATGGCAGTGGACAGACCTCAAATCCCAAATGTTTTTACTTCCTTTTGTTAGTCATCCTACAAGCTTTGGAAACTTTTGACTCTTGGGATCAAGGGCTAATGAAAGTCTAACATAAACAGCCTCTAGGGATCTCCAGGCAGACACAAAGATGCTGTGGAAAAGAAAGTCACGTGATTTTTAAGGCGAGGATTTTGAGAGCCACACCTGTCCCCTTGCTTTACATACTAAATACGAACATGTAGGCTGCTGTTTGGGGACAAACCCTCTCTTTACAGATGCATATTCAGATACTGGTATTTCTGCCAACCAGAAATCCCAGAATGCAAACTAGGCAAGCTGCACAGCTTCATGTTTTAAAATGATGACTGCCATTTGCCATACTTCCTGCCTGTTTCAACACTGAGGACCCAAGAGCTACAGAGAAACTACCAGCTATCATACGAAGCTTCTAGGACTGTGGCCTCTGATCTACATCTCATCATGTACTGTTCATGTGCGTAAGAAAGTGAACAAGGTAAGGACGGGCTGTAGAAAAAAAAGCCTGTAATTTTAAATCTTAGTTGTAGCATTTCCATAAACCAACGCTAAGTGTACTGTCATCTCTTCCTCTCCCCTATTTTCTGTTGTGCAAAAAAAATAAGCAAGGTAAGAAAGCATGTATATGTCACAGCTTACTGCTGGCCCAGGAAAGCCTTTTCAGTACCTCTCTTCAGCTGCATAAAGGAGGTTGTGCAAAATTATTGGGGTAATGCTTACTTGCCCAGCAGAAAGTTCATTTGTGTGTCCTTACAGGCAATGAAAAATTACCCCAATTCTGCTTCCACCAGACTGACTGCTACTGGGAGAGCACCACACTGACTTCCCCAGAGGCACAGTCTGATGCCTAGCAAAACAGCTATTCCAGCTGAGTTGAGAAAAAGAATTAGTCAACATTATGATCCCTCTCATCTCCCCTCCCACACTTTTCTTAGTAAAATAAATAGATATACCACAGAAACTCTTACCTTTTTTTATATATGGGCATATTTGGAGAATGTATTGGTGGTCCTGAGGGGGAACTTGATAGGGATCCTGAGTATTTATCCATGAGTCTCCATTTAGAAGGGATGTATTCTAATGGGGGATCAGGTGGCCATTGTGTGTTTGGTCTTCCTCCCATCGAAGACAAGGGAGTGCTGGCTTGGTCATGGTACGGTGGCAGTGATGACCTGCTCATATTGTTGAAGAACACCGATGACAGGGACCCACGACCAGGATTCACTTTTTTATTTGATAGCTGCGGACAGTATTTCTCCGGGAGAAACTGATTCTGTGAAGCAGAAGCAAGGGGTTGGAAGATGGTACTCATGCTACTTAGACTCTGCTGGGTATTTTGTGCACTTTCAGAGAGAGGACGGTCTTCTTGGCAGATTGGGCTGAGCTGGAAATCTTCTCCGTCCATAGGAATGTAAGGAGCCAGGGTTTCAAGGTCCAGTTCATTGAAGTCAGTCTGCACAAAAATAAAGTTCATAAAGGTTTATAATGGTTGTGGCAGTTAGTGTGACAGGGAATACATGTAGATGTGAAGCAGAAAAATCACTGATGCCAAATTTACCCATATGAAACCAGCCAACTCCTCCTTGAACATGCCTTAATTCTATGACTAGTACACCTGTTCATCATGGCATCAGTAGCAAAGACAACAACCTGAAGAAGAAACCCCTCCCAGCTAGGCAGTATTTGCTAAAGCATCTTGTATGCAGCCTGCAGCACCAGAGTGATCTGAAGTAGATCTTGTGTTTCAGTATGTTTTGAATAATTTGTCTGCCAAGACTCCATAACATGTGGTGTGCAGTTCAACCTCAGGCTTTTACATGCTAAAATAGAAAATGAAGCTTCCTCATAATCCAGCTACGGAAAAAAATGCATCTAAAAAATGCAAATGTTTAAAAAAAAACCTTAGTCAGATGGCACTACTGCACTTAAATCCATGTATTTTTTTCCCCTGGAGAACTAGTCTTATTTAAGCACGTTCCTCTTGGCCTCTGAACAGAGCTGAACAGAGAGGGAAATCAATGTTGGCTCACCAGTCAGCTCATGACAGGTGTATGTTTCTAAGGCTCATTTTTCCCACCACAGCTGCTGATGTGATGGGAGCAAGCAGATGCTGAACCTGACAAAACTGAAGTCTGCAATGTCAAGTCTTGCACTCAGTTTAATCATGATCCACATTTCTCCCCCTCTCTGTCCACTCTTTCTATTATTGAAACAGCTTTCATTGCTGTTTATGTCCAGACTTGGATGAAATTTCTTCAGGACATGGATGACAGCCTACCTAAGTCTGCAAATTGCACTGGCAAATGGAGGCACCTCATTTGGGCCCTGGCACCCCAAACTTTCCGTAGGATTAATAGAAAGAGAATAGTATAAGGTCTGAGCTGCCAGCCAGTTTGTATATAAAAAAGTATAAGCTCTTAACAAAGGCATTTTAATTATCTAAAGTTAGATGGGCCAAATCAGGCCTACACCTTTTATTCACTAGCTCACTTGGTGCGTTATAATAATGGATTAATTTATTTGCAGAGGGAATTTCCACACTTACACCATGATTAGAATACAGGGGATGAAGACCATACGTTATTTTACATGCAAGAAATTGTCACATCCCTCTGAAATCTTCCAAGAGGTAAAACAAGAACCATATATCCAAAATGCCAGTTCGCATTTTGTAGTTAAAGGAGATACGTGCTATGGAGGGACATTCCTTTCTCATTTTAATGTTTTGCAAGACTTAGTTTATTTTGTTCTAGGAAGGATGTTTACTTGTTACCCTCATCATTATGCTAGGTTAAAAGAAATTGCTGCCTTTTTTTTCTTAAGAATCTGGAAGCTTCTGTAGACTGAATAAGGAAAACAAGCAGCAACAGAGAGCTTTATCAGTGCCACCACAGTGACAGCCTAAAACACTTGCTTCAGAGTTAGGGATAGAAATTTACACCCCAGCTTTTGAAAGTGAATGAATTTTAGTGTTGTGCATCAAAGCTTTGATGTATATGTGCAAGTGCAGTTAGTGTGTAATATCACTATGCCTGTGTCACCTGCTAGCAGAGGACTGATCTTTACGGCTGTTGGGAGAGACATTAATTCCTTACCTGTGAGGTGCACTGGCTTTTTGATTCTGTGTCCATGGCAAAAAGTTTTTCAATCACTTCAATCTTCAGATCTTCATCCACAGAACTGTAATAATCTCCTGGGCTGCTTGGCTGCACAGAGATAATAAGAATTTGCTATAAGCAGCAAGACAACCACGGTATTGGTTTAGCATCATGCTGTTTATACTGTACTGTTCAGTAATGGATCTTCCCTATGAAAAGCAAACGGCCAGACTGTATACATAGTGTCCTCAGAACCCAAAACTGTCTGCTTCTATCATACACTTTTCTCCAACTAGTGACACTACTCGTCACTACAAAACACAGACACCCAATACAAGAACCTAGTTATCTGCTTGGTTTAAATGGTTTGGGTTTTTTTTTGGCAGCTCAGACCAGAACCATGAAATGTACGCTATTAAATACTTTTGTCAAGAAGGGAGATGTGCAGCAATACCTCAATGCCTTTCTTATTGCTGGACATCCTTTAGTAAAGGGCCAACCAGAAGTGGCTCCAGACCTTGGGGGCTAAGATGAAAACATCATCTACATATATTGATGGGACTTACATACACAATATAACATGCATTTATTTTTATAGCTCCTCTTACCGTGGAACAGCTACTGTTACTGCTTGCACTTGGAGTACTGTTGCCAGGTGCAATCTGAGGCATTGTAAAGGATGGTATTGTCAGCGTTTCACCTTGAGCAGCGTGGCTTTTCACTTCCACTGGCCATGCTTTGTTTGGTGTCAATACAGCAGTGGGGAAGGCAGGGGCTTCCTCAAACTTCTGTGTCCCTGGATGGAGTTTTAACAATATTAATGAACGCTTTTAGCTTGTCTGTGTTATGATATAATTGCAGCTATTCATTAAAAGTAAACACTGGTCCTAGTTGCCATGACAATAAGTTGGCATAGACTTAATGCATGTTGTTTAGTCAGCAAGAAAGCCTGAATCTGCTCCCATTCACAGAAATTTTCCACTGGTGTGAGCATGTGGGCTCTTATAGACACTACTCCCAGTCTGTGCACACAGCAAACAGACCTTGTCTATTATAAAGTTTCTATAAATGTAGGCTCACACACAGCTCTTTGTTGTACAAAAATTATTTATACAAATACTAACCAAAATCCAGGGAAATAATGGCATCGCCGGGTGTTGGTGCCAGCTGAGCCAGTTCCTCTGGTTCCTCCTTTAGCTTAGTAAACAAGAAGTCACTCTTCTCTGTCGCTGGGATGCCGCTCTCATAGGCGGTGCTCATCGTCAGCAGGTGAGGCTTGAAGAGCGATTCCGTCTGGTCCATGGAGAACACAACATCGTTCTTCTCAATTTCACTGACAAGAAAATAGGTTTTAGGCATTTTGCACTCTAAAAAACAAAAAGATGCGAGTAATGTAGGCAGCAAGCGCGCTCTAAAGCTGGGGCCCGTACAAGTGTTCTGGCCTCCCTGTGTGGCATGCCAGGCTCTCGGCAGGCAAGGCACAGTTCCAGCGTTGCTGAGCACCACCATCTCGGGTGAGGCAGAGACCGTGGTCAGTAGTTCTGTGGGAATAGTCAGGGCTTTGTTGCACTGCTTTTTGAAGGGATGTAGTAGAGGCTGTAATGACCCAGACTATCACTCAAATAAGTATTTGCTATTTTGGCCCCATCTAGGACCAAAACTACTTGAGTTTGGCAAAAGAGGCAAAACTCCTGATTGGTCCTGATTTTTGAGGAGTAAACAGTTTCTCCTAGGAATATAAGATGCAATTACTACTTCATTTTCTGTCTCTGACACAGCATTAGAAAACCAAAACACATTAGCAGTCATGTTACACAACACAATCTTTAGCCCAGGCTTTATACTTTCATACTAGCACAGCAGCCACTCTGAAGAAGAGAAGGGCTGTGGTGTATTTCAACAGCGTGCATAGGAGCAGACATGCCACATTCTTCATCGATGTCTAACATCAGTAAACAAGACTGAACCAACATGACTAAACTGATGTCAGAATAACAATACTGGATAAACAGACCCTTCAAAACCCTCCTGATTATTGCATTTCTCCCAGCACGTGATTCCACATGTGGTTTTTCTGGCCCGTACAGCTTACCTCAGCACATAGTTGACACAGACGATACACTGAGGCTGTAGGTTGCGTGTATTGTAAATCACTGTGCCTTGAGTCTCCAGCCATACGTATCCACCATGCTTGGCAAGCATACGGTACTGGCCTGTCACTACTTGACCTTTTGTACACACTGAGAAAAGGAAGCGCAGAGATATAAATCACTCAGCAGGACAGGAACATACCATAAGTAACACTTGTTTTAAGTAAACCCGCTCCTGAGTTTTAATTAGTGCAGTTTTGCCTATCACATTTGTCATCAAGGATGCTCAA